GATGGACAAAAACATTATTCTCTTAAAAATGTAGATTAAATTTGGTTGCATTTTTTTGCCTCACAGGGTATTTAATGTATGTGATGTGTTATGTTTTTTAGACTGATGAAAACTTGATGGAATTGGTGAAGTGCGGACCAAGGACACCTTTTATAATTGCCATCAAACCATTTGACAGTAAAAACAGGATATTTTACATCGCTGTAGAGGGCAACATTATTTTGAATAACAAAGACATTCTGGAGGCAGTTTTTCTGCTTATGTCCACCTACTGGATATTCTATATTGAATATCCAATAAAAGCAAGACATACATACCAGTTTTTGCAGCATTGTGCTTACAATTGTCATTTGGAGAGACTCCAGCAAAGAAAGTGATTACAATTGCTCAAAAGGTAAGATTGGAATTAAACTGCTTGTATTTTGATGGTCTTTGGTAATGATATTGTGATTATAGCCTTCCATGGATGTTGACATTTTGATAAATTGAAATTTATTGGAAATTCTTTCAATAGGAGAAATTTGATAATATTTGGTCAAATTATGTCAAGGTTTTGGTCATTTTATGCCATTGAGGACTGGGGAGCATATTGTTTCATGTCTTGACAGTCTAGTCTGTGTCTGTTTCTCTGTTGAATAAATCATATTTGGTATGTTGCTTACATATAAAAAAATAAATGGTATTTGAAATCTAAATTAAGGGTTCACTTTTCATGTGTATTTCCAATACATGTATACATTTATTTGTTTCAGGTATCAATATGAGTGATTTTGTGGATCTGACAGACCTGCCGGACTTGATGTTGGAGAAGATCTTGGAATATGTTGGAATATTTGACCTGTTGAAGAATGTAAGCAGGACCTGTAAATTTATGAACACTTTTGTACACACTAGGTCAGTGCTGTGGAAGCACATGGATTTAGAGTGGTTAGAAGACCAAGTGTACAGTATGTTCAGGCATGCACACCAGTTTCGCTGCCTAGATATTCCAATGATGACCTGTAACTTTAATGACAGTGTAGCTATTTTGGATGAATGTTTAAACACATATTTACCACTGTCAAAACATCTTTTTTGGCTGGACTTGTCCTATGCAGAATTTTCTACACTGTCTTTTGTACCATGTCTCGAAAATCTGTCAACATTGCTGATTGCAGGATGTGAAAATATCCCGGACACAGAGTTTTTACATATAAAACATTGCCCCAAACTTACATACTTAAGTGTTGGCTACACAAATATCAGTGGGTCAACTTTGGCTGCTGTGCTAAGTCCTCCCATTGTTGATGTAGATGCACCAAATGTGATAGTCAGTCGTGAAGTGGCTTATAGCATTTTGCAGAATTGTGAATCAACTCTACATAATATTATGTTTGGTTTGGAAGAAAGTGTCACAAAACAACAGTTTAAACACTTGACCCCTGAATTGGTTTATGTTTTTATTACACTTTCTCTAACCAAAAATCATTTTCTCATATTAAATGCTGATAAAAAAGATTTGATTGATTATAACTTGTATACATATTGTTATTTCCACATTGCATTGTAATTACAATAATGTATGTATGGTATTTTGAGGATATTGTTGGTTATTACTCTCATAGGCATGCAAGATAAAGAGTGCTTTATTGATCATGAAGAAAGTGTATTGCAGGTAGCATCACTGCATGGTTATTTTGAAAGTTTATTAAAAAAAAATATTGGGATATTTAATTTCTTTTGTTGTCAATAATGATATCTCAACAAAATATTATGGTATTAAGTAAATTGTTTTATCTATCCATTTCAAATACATTTATATCTTATGAGCCCAAACAAAAAGATTTAATTTCATATTTATACAATGGCATTGTATAGTAAAATTTATACATGTGGTTAGGTTATTCATTGTGGTAATCGGTGAAAGCTAGGAGGTCAAATGTCACACTTGACCACATTGCTGGAATGGGGGTAATTCAACAGTAGTGTGGTGTATCAACCTTGGAAATAACAAATTTTCTGTTTGATTTTTTCTCCCATGATGATGTATATCATCTACATTACTGCAGTGATATTTAATCATTACTGTTTTTGCTAGTGGCAGTTGAGTTTACACTCATTATTGGCATAAACTTTCCTTAAATGCATTGGTGTAACACTAAAGCACCATCACAACTGTGGTGTTTTGTTAAATCATAGACATCCATGTAAGTTTACATTCAAACTACACTCATGCAGTTGTGCTGCTACACCACAGGTACTGGTGTAAGTTTACACCTAATTGGTATGGTGTAATGTTACATCACAGGTACTGGTGTAATGTTACACCTGATTGGTATGGTGTAATGTTACACCTGATTGGTATGGTGTAATGTTACACCTAATTGGTATGGTGTAAAGTTACACCACAGGTACTGGTGTAAGTTTACACCTAATTGGTATGGTGTAATGTTACATCACAGGTACTGGTGTAATGTTACACCTGATTGGTATGGTGTAATGTTACACCTGATTGGTATGGTGGTTACACCTGTTGGTATGTATTGTCACACGACAGGTACTGGTGTAATGTTACACCTGATTGGTATGGTGTAATGTTACACCTGATTGGTATTGTGTAATGTTACACCACAGGTACTGGTGTAATGTTACACCTAATTGGTATGGTGTAATGTTACACTACAGGTACTGGTGTAATGTTACACCTGATTGGTATGGTGTAATGTTACACCTGATTGGTATGGTGTAATGTTACACCTGATTGGTATGGTGTAATGTTACACCTAATTGGTATGGTGTAAAGTTACACCACAGGTACTGGTGTAAGTTTACACCTAATTGGTATGGTGTAATGTTACATCACAGGTACTGGTGTAATGTTACACCTGATTGGTATGGTGTAATGTTACACTACAGGTACTGGTGTAATGTTACACCTGATTGGTATGGTGTAATGTTACACCACAGGTACTGGTGTAATGTTACACCTGATTAATATGGTGTAATGTTACACCACAGGTACAGGTGTAATGTTACACTACAGGTACTGGTGTAATGTTACACCTGATTGGTATGGTGTAATGTTACACCTAATTGGTATGGTGTAATGTTACACCTAATTGGTATGGTGTAATGTTACACCACAGGTACTGGTGTAATGTTACACCTAACAGGTATTGTGTAATGTTACACCTAATTGGTATGGTGTAATGTTACACCTGATTGGTATGGTGTAATGTTACACCTGATTGGTATGGTGTAATGTTACACCTGATTGGTATGGTGTAATGTTACACCTGATTGGTATGGTGTAATGTTACACTTTCGTTGCAGGTGTAACTTTACACTATTTATTTCTTGGAAAGTTTACACCTGGCTGCCACCATTTTTGGTGTAAATTTACACCTTATATTTTACAGTGTAGGCACGTCGAAATGTACAGGTTTAGTAGGCGCGTCGAAATGTACAGGTTAAGTAGGCGCGTCGAAATGTACAGGTTTAGTAGACGCGTTTTTCTTGACGTCATATCGCCTCTCACGAAAAGAATTTTCCAACTTTGGTTCGGCAATGATCTTAAATGGAGACATGTTTACAATATCATCAGTTTTTTATCAATACAATCGTACGATATCGACTTGAGTATTTCTCAGATAAGGTAACTATGACCAAATATGAACAAACGAAAGATTTACACGGAGACTCCTATAAAAGGAAATCAAGACCAGATGTTCTGGAAGATTAAGCGTCAATTCATCGTTATTAACAGTATATAGCATAGCCTTAGTATCCCTAACTAGCACACTCGCGTGCTAGTAACAGTATATAACCTAGCCTTAGTATCCCTAACTGGCACACTCGCGTGCTAGTAACAGTATATAACCTAGCCTTAGTATCCCTAACTGGTACACTCGCGTGCTAGTAACAGTATATAACCTAGCCTTAGTATCCCTAACTGGTACACTCGCGTGCTAGTAACAGTATATAACCTAGCCTTAGTATCCCTAACTAGTACACTCGCGTGTTAGTAACAGTTTATAACCCAGCCTTAGTATCCCTAACTAGTACACTCGCGTGTTAGTAACAGTTTATAACCCAGCCTTAGTATCCCTAACTAGTACACTCGCGTGTTAGTAACAGTTTATAACCCAGCCTTAGTATCCCTAACTAGTACACTCGCGTGTTAGTAACAGTTTATAACCCAGCCTTAGTATCCCTAACTAGTACACTCGCGTGTTAGTAACAGTTTATAACCCAGCCTTAGTATCCCTAACTAGTACACTCGCGTGTTAGTAACAGTTTATAACCCAGCCTTAGTATCCCTAACTAGTACACTCGCGTGTTAGTAACAGTTTATAACCCAGCCTTAGTATCCCTAACTAGTACACTCGCGTGTTAGTAACAGTTTATAACCCAGCCTTAGTATCCCTAACTAGTACACTCGCGTGTTAGTAACAGTTTATAACCCAGCCTTAGTATCCCTAACTAGTACACTCGCGTGTTAGTAACAGTTTATAACCCAGCCTTAGTATCCCTAACTAGTACACTCGCGTGTTAGTAACAGTTTATAACCCAGCCTTAGTATCCCTAACTAGTTCATTCGCTTGAAATATCAACTCTGTCTACATTTAACACAGGACTTAAAATCAACGAAATAAATAATTTCTAATAACTTTAAACAGATGAAAAGATATAAAGTGAGTCAATAACACACCCTCAGAACATTGATAATATACATACGTAAGAATTGTGACCCATGATTTCCTTTTTCAAGCTCATGCGTCATCGAAACCACTCCAGCCGTCTAAGAATTATGAGAGTACCGCAATGCACTGTGGGAGATATTGGTATTTTCCAAGGTCCTTCAACCAAAACCAGGAAGAAAAACATTATATGTAATGATATATAACACACTAACAAAGATCTAAACGGGATATACCAGTGTGACTAGAAAGACTGTTACACGTCTGGATAATGAAGGACACCGTTGCATAGTTCCATGTGTTCTAGAAATATTGTGTTGGATTTGGATGAAATCCTAAGTTATACCGGTACGGAATAAAAGTAACGGAATCCGACTGTAAAGGCTTAAATATGTACAGGTTTAGTAGGCGCGTCTAAATGTTCAGGTTAAAGTAGACGTTAGATATTTCTGCTTAGATATTCATATCATTTGATTCTTTTATTTAACGAAACAAGAATTAAAAAAAAGTGAGATGAGAAAACTGATAAATGTAGATCGTGCAAACGATTCCGATATTAGTATTTTCTTATCAGTTTCGATAATTCATTGTCTAAAGTTCAATCTCAAATCCGCAGATATACATATTTCCTGTCTAATTATCAAAAAATGAATAAAATGGAAATGCTCATACAGGTAGGAATCTTCACATGTTTCTGAGAATTCTGTGAAAAAGATTAAAATAGCAGGGACATAATTGGAGACATAACATGGCATGTTTGGCACATTTAGTCAGTAAGAATGGGGGCGTATGTTTATTTAAATAACCCAACGTCGTTCACATTTTATTTTTTGTTTCATTTTTAGAGAAAATATAAATCAATAGTATCTTGAGTAACTTTTTGTCACACTAGAATTTCATATTTGTAGAGTGTCGTTTCTGAGATGTCGGACCAGGCAGAGTTGTATGAGAAATCATGGATTCTACATCGAATCCTGGACGAGTTTATAGGGAACAAGGAGACTGTGGCCGTCAAGAGAAAATTGTTGATGTTGGATGAACTTTTCACGAACAGTACAAAAGACGTCATGAAAAAGTTTCACATCGGAAGTAGTTGTGACGGCCTACCGTTGTTAGGCTCGGACGGGGATTTGATGTATATGGACAGTGAAGTGATTGTAATAGGACCAGACCTGGACATGCGTACCACACCAGACAGCTCAGTTCTGATGATGAGGGATGCTAACAGTCGTCCTGGCTATGTAACCTTGGAACTTGTTCACTTTGGATACATGTGTATGGAGTCTTTGATGAAATCCATTGTACCAGTAGGAGATTCAAATTTCATATCAAGTGAAATATATTCACGGAATATGACAGATATAATTGGTAAAATAGCACGGATGGAACTATCCACCCGTGGACCAGCTAGTTCTTTGATGCGAGAACAAAGCGATTTTGACCATGACGAAGATTTTGTCGTTTCCTTCCCGTGTAGCAGTTGGCCACGACAGGCCAATGAATGGATCCATAGACTTCGACTGCATGACTGGCCAAGCGAAACCTTGCGTGATCAAATCATAAAAGGTGGCTGTCATCTGGTTCCTGTGGGAGATAAAACATCTGATAACCCATTCCTACAATGGAGGATTTCGTTTACAATTGCTGAAAGAAAACTCCTCTACTCTCTCACTCGTGTCCAATTTTTAGTCTATGGATTGCTGAAGTACTTTCTCAAACAAATATCGAACACGGTGAGTAACATTTTGGGGGAAGCAGATCTGATCTCGTCCTATATAATCAAAACAATCCTCTTCCACACCTTAGAAAGCACACCTCAATCATTATGGCAGGAGAAAAATACCTTTCTTTGTTTCATGTTGTGTTTCACGACTTTGATCTCATGGTTGAAGGTAGGATACTGTCCAAATTACTTCGTCAATACAAACAATATGTTCCTTGGCAAATTTCAAGGCGAAAGAAAACAAAAACTCCTTCAATGTCTCATTGGTCTGCATGATATGAAATGGGGATGCCTTTCAGTTGGGACATTTATACAGCCCACTATTGGAACTCTTATTGATGGTGTATGGAACAGAGAGTTGGCATTGGCGCCACCTAGACCATCACAATTAGAGGCTGAAAGGGACATGTACATATTCCTCGATACTTTTGTATATCGTCATAACTTTGATTCCTTCCCAGTCACAATGACACTCCTTTGTAATTCAAACACAGACTTGGAGGAATTCGTTGGTTACTTTACTACTTTGAAAGGACTGGCACATACAGGAATGATAATTTTTGGAAAACAGAATTCTTCAAGAGGAAATAAACAGAGATATAAATATCTTAGGAAATGCAAGAACTTTCTGAAACCGCTTGCATCTTTGTGTACAAGTCCAGGACTACTGACGCTGGCAACATATCACTATCAGACTGGGAATTACGTGAAAACACTGGAATTGTGTGGACAAATGATTTCATCATCTCAAATGTATGTTGGTGATATGTTCATAACATGTGAGAGGAAAAACATGTATGAACATCTCTGGTGCGGTCAAGGACACAGTTTATATTACAAATGTCGGGAGGCATGTGTGTCAGATATGACATTAGAATACGACTGTTCACAGTTCTGTCCACCACAGTTACACCTATATTTCCAAGACTCTGGAGTAACACATTTGTCCATACCTCCGCTTCCTTACGCGCTATTCCTGTCGTTTCTTTGTTATCTCGAACTCGGCGACACCAGGAGACGTGATGCAGCATTAATTCACCTTCGAACCGTGAAGGACGACGAGGACCAGGGAAGTGGTAAACACTTGATAGTCCACAAACTGTTAAGGATCTGTTATGAAATGGTTGGGGATATACCTCGCGCTTATTGGGAATACAGGAACTCCCTTGGTGGTCATGGACCCCTCTAACTGCTTAATCCAGCCATGACGAGAATAGATCAGCTGCTACGTTCACAATAAGACAGCCAGGTTCTGTATTAAAATGACGAGAATATGCTTCATCTACAAAATTAATATTTATAGGACTTTCCATGAATCGAAATTAATCCTAACTTTTGTGCGCTGTTGGCAGCCAATATATTTCATGATACATTATAACGGGAAAATGTATTAAAGATTCATCATTTTCGTGTACCCGACAATGTCTTTGTTTACATGTCATACAAATATAACATCCTTCGTTGTCACTACTCCAGCACTTCTTAGATATCGTAGAATTAGGTCGATGTGACCTAGATTTACATGTTGGAACAATCAATAAAACAATGGAGTCAATTTTCGAAGGTGTCCATGTTTACAATCTTACTTTGTTGTTATCGATCATGGATAATCAATTTTCGCCTTTTACCAGTTGACTGTTCTGTCTGTATTGTAGTGGGACATTTGTTGTTCTGTTTTGTTTCAAATCAATCTGTTGTAGTTGTTTAATCTATTTTAACCAGATTTACATCCGAATGGCTCTTATGACTTAATTACATAGCTCACCTGACCATAATTACTGCGGATTCTTGCACAATGAAAACACAAGTCAAGTGGTAACATTTTCCTGTTACATTGAAAAGGTTTTTTCCCCAGATATGTACAATTCGAGACGGCAGCATAGCCTTTAGATGAAGCTACCCATTCATTGGTTTTACGGCATGTATCCCGATATGCCAACATATTTAACAATAACATGGGCAGTATTTTAAATGTGACTTTATCAGTGCTTACCTGCGTTATTACCTTATTTACCTGCATTTTTACCTGTATTTACCCGATCTTTTACCCGTACTTACCTGCGTTTTTACCTGTGTTTTTCTGCGTTTTTACCCGTTTTTACCAGCATTTTTTACCCGTATTTACCTGCGTTTTTACCCATTTTTACCAGCATTTTTTACCCGTATTTACCTGCGTTTTTACTTGTATTTACCTGTGTTTCTGCCCGTATTTACCTGTATTTACCTGCGTTATTATTTGTATTTAACTGCTTTTTTTACACGTATTTACCCGATATTTTACCCGTGCTTACCTGAGTTTTTTTACCATGTTTTTCTGCGTTTTTACCCGTTGTTACCAGCGTTTTTTACCCGTATTTACCTGCGTTTTTACCTGTATTTACCTGTGTTTTTGCCCGTATTTACCTGCGTTTTTACCTGTATTTAAATGTGTTTTTACCTGTATTTACATGTTCTTTTACCCGTGTTTACCTGCGGATTTACCCGTATTTACCAGCATTATTACCTGGTTTTTTTTACCCGTGTTTACCTGACTTTTTATCAGTGATTACCTTGGTATTATCAAGAAATTACCTTTAACCCGTGTTTACCTGTGTTTTTACCCGCGTTTACCTGCGTTATTACCCGTGTTCACCTGTGCTTTTACCCGTGTTTACATGCGGTTTTACCCGAATTTACCTGCATTTTTACCAGTATTTACCTTTAAACTTGTGTTAACATGCGTTTTTACCCATGTTTACCTGCGTTTTTACCCGTTTTTACCAATATTTACCTGTTCTTTTACCCGCGTTTACTTGCCTTTTTCCCGTGTATACCAGCGTTTTTTTGTGCTTTTACCCGCGTTTACATGCGTTTTACCCATTCTCACCTGCGATTTTACCCGTGTTTACCTGCGATTTTACCCGTGTTTACCTGCGATTTTACCCGTGTTTACCTGCGATTTTACCCGTGTTTACCTGTGCTTTTACCCGTGTTTACCTGCGATTTTACCCGTGTTTACCTGCGCTTTTACCCGTGTTTACCTGTGCTTTTACCCGTGTTTACCTGCGATTTTACCCGTGTTTACCTGCGCTTTTACCCGTGTTTACCTGTGCTTTTACCCGTGTTTACCTGTGGTTTTAGTCTATGACGAAAGCTGATATAATATGAAATGGCAGAAATGTTATTTAGAGTTAATAGGTAATATTTTTATACATGTATTTTTTTCTCAATGTTAATTTGAAACTGAAAATAGACGTTGACAAAGAAAATGAATTTTTATGTTTTAACATATTTGATTTATTGCTGTTCATAATCGATTCATATCTAATACAGTCTTTTATGCACATGTCTAGAATTTTTAATAATGATGCTGATATAAATCAAACTAATATTAATTTTTTTATATGAAACAAAGTTTCCATTAGTATCAATTTTCATTATGTCTAAATGACCAAGTAATGATATTCCACGCCAAGTTGATTATATATAGGTACTATCAAAGGTAATCATCATCAAATAGTAGTAACTGGAGTAATATAGTCGATATTCATATAAATGTACATTTGTTCTCTGATATTTCAGCGAGATAGTTCCCTATAACATTCTCTATCACTGCTGCTATCCATAATTACCTATTCAAGGACAACAAACCACTACTATCCACTCAAGGAAAACTACCCGTTACTACCAACTCAAAGACACCTACCCTCTACTACACACTCAAGGACAACTACCCGCTACTACTCACTCAAGGACAACTACCCATAACAACCCACTCAAGGACAATTACCCATAACTACCCACTCAAGGACACCTACCCACTCAAGAACAACTACCAATAACTACCGACTCAAGGACAAATTCCCAAAACTACCCACTCAAGGACAACTATCCACTACTGCCCACTCGAGGACAACTATCCATAACTAACCTCTCTAGGACAACTACCCGCTACTACCCACTCAGACTACTATCCCCTACTTACCACTCAAGGACAACTACCCGCTACTACTCACTCAAGGACAACTACCTACTACTACCCACTCAAGGACAACTACCATAACTACCCACTCAAGGACACCTACCCACTCAAGAACAACTACCAATAAGTACCCACTCAAGGACAAATACCCACTACTACCCACTCAAGGACAACTATCCACTACTGCCCACTCGAGGACAACTACCCATAACTACCAACTCAAGTACAAATACCCATAACTACCAATTCAAGGACAACTACGAACTACTACCCACTCAAGGACAAATACCCACTACTACCCACTCAAGGACAACTATCCACTACTGCCCATTCGAGGACAACTACCCATAAATAACCTCTCAAGGACAACTACCCGCTACTACTCACTCAAGGACAACTACCCATAACTACCCACTCAAGGACACCTACCCACTCAAGAACAACTACCAATAACTACCGACTCAAGGACAAATTCCCAAAACTACCCACTCAAGGACAACTATCCACTACTGCCCACTCGAGGACAACTACCCATAACTAACCTCTCAAGGACAACTACCCGCTACTACCCACTCAATTACAATTATCAATAACTACCCAATCAAGGACTACTATCCCCTACTTACCACTCAAGGACAACTACCCTCTACTACACACTCAAGGACAACTACCCTCTACTACACACTCAAGGACAACTACCCGCTACTACTCACTCAAGGACAACTACCTACTACTACCTACTCAAGGACTACTACCCATAACTACCCACTCAAGGACACCTACCCACTCAATAACAACTACCAATAAGTACCCACTCAAGGACAAATACCGACTACTACCCACTCAAGGATAACTATCCACCACTGCCCACTCGAGGACAACTACCCATAACTACCAACTCAAGTACAAATACCCATAACTACCAATTCAAGGACAACTACGAACTACTACCCACTCAAGGACAAATACCCACTACTACCCACTCATGGACAACTATCCACTACTGCCCATTCGAGGACAATTACCACCCATAAATAACCTCTCAAGGACAACTACCCGCTACTACCCACTCAATTACAATTATCAATAACTACCCAATCAAGGACTACTATCCCCTACTTACCACTCAAGGACAACTACCCTCTACTACACACTCAAGGACAACTACCCTCTACTACACACTCAAGGACAACTACCCGCTACTCCCCACTCAATGACAACTGCACATAACTACCCACTCAAAAACAACTACCCATAACTACCTACTCAAGGACTACTTCCCACCACTACTTACTAAATGACAACTACCTACTTCTACCCATTCAAAGACAACAAACAACTACTACCTACTCAAGGACAACAACCCACTCAAGGACAATTACCCACTCAAGGACAATTACCCACTACTACATACTCTAGGACGACTATCCACTTCTACCCACTCCAATATAACTACCCTCTAATACCCACTCCAATATAACTACCGACTAATACCCACTCCAATATAACTTCCCACTTATACCCACTCCAATACAACTTCCCATTAATAACCCACTCCAATATAACTACCCACTAATACCCACTCCAATATAACTACCCACTAATACCCACTCCAATATTGCTACCCACTAATACCCACTCCAATATAACTACCCACTAATACCCACTCCAATATTGCTACCCACTAATACCCACTCCAATATAACTACCCACTAATACCCACTCCAATATTGCTACCCACTAATACCCACTCCAATATAACTACCAACTTATAACCACTCCAATATAGCTACCCTCTAATTCCCACTCCAATATAACTACCCACTAATACTTACTCCTAGACATCTACCTACTAATACCCACTCCAATATAAATACCTACTTATACCCACTCCAATATAACTACCCACTAATACCCACTCCAATATAGCTACCCACTAATACCCACTCCAATATAACTACCCACTAATACCCACTCCAATATAGCTACCCACTAATACCCACTCCAATATAGCTACCTACTAATACCCAATCCAATATAACTACCCTCTAATACCCACTCCAATATAATATGACATATATTCACTACTACCCACTCCAATACATCTACTCAATGCTACCTGCTCGATAACAACGTCTCACTGCTACCCACATATCTAAGACAGCTATCTCACTTAAATGAAGACAACTCACTTCTATCGACTCAAAGACAACTACCCACGTCTACCC